TAGTTCAGTATTAATAAAAAATAACTAATATATTTAGTTTAGGATCGTCTACCTCCTCCCCCAGTGTCGCCGCCTGCTCCGTACTTACAGACTAGGCATCTATTTCCACGTGTCTCCGACTTCGCCCTTCGTCACGCCTGCATGACGCTGCATTTCTGCATTTGTGAAACCTCGGAGCAGCTTCACTTGTTTGTGTTACCCGGAAACTTCTCAGCGTTTGCAGACCGTTTCCTTCTAATCCTTTAGGCTCTCGTGGTCCTTGCATTACACTTGCATGACACCTACGTCTTCGTCGTGCACGTGTGTGGTCAGGACTACGGCGGGCGTGATGGCCTTCATCTCGATCGCGTCTCCCTTTCCGGCCCCCTTGCCCCCCTTGCCCTTCGCCCCGGAGCCCTCAGGGGGCAGCACCTCCACGACCACCAGCCCAGCAGTCTCCGAAGGGTTGGTGCATCGCTGGGCTTCGTAAGACCTCCTCCTCCTTCTCTTCAGGTCGTTCGCATCACTCCCATCCAGACTCTCCTCCTCCTCCTCCAGCTCCTTCTGCCTCACGTCAACCATCGTGAAGCTGTTGCTCCTCGACCTCTCGACGACTGCGCGGTGGCTCTCCAGCAGGAGGGCTCGGTCGCCTGTGGTCGTCCTGTAGCCTCGACCCTCTTCCGCGCGGCCAACGGGAGGAGACATCCCACCGCTGCCACCAGGAGAGACGCCCTCTCCTCCTCCTCCTCCTGCTGCCGCTCCTGCTCCCAAGGCAGTCGCGCCCGTCATCCTACTGGCCTCCTGACGAGGAGAGTGATGGAAGGTAGAACGGTAGGGTGAGGGTCTCTTCGCATCCTGAGTTCCCTTGCCATGCACACCCTGGAATGAAGGAGACTTTAATTTGTTCTTTTATTTCCATTCTGTTTATTTCTATTTATTGTTTAATTATTTATATATCGTGAATAAGCTTTGTTCTTTTAAACTGATTAAATTACTGATTTAATTCACACTAAGCATTGCAATAAAATAATTTCTAATTATAACATTAACATTATTAGAGCAGCTACTAATATATTACCTTCTCCTTAAATTTATCATTAAATTATGTATAAATAGTTTTTTTTTTCCAGCAACCATTCTCTTTCCCACTTCTTGATAGGTAAAGACCAAGCTACATTATTCATATCATTATTTATTATCATTTATTTATCATTATTTACATCATTTATTATTTATCATTATATATTTTATGATAGGCAAAGATCATGCTACGTTATTTATCTCTCTTTAGACGGCAAATCAAGACGCAAAACAGAAAACGGATGAAAAGGAAAACGCATTTAAGGGGATACTCACGTTTACGGACATGATGCAAGCAGACGTAAAAGAAAAACGTCGATGGTCGTGCATGAACTGATACTGATACCACTTTTTCTTCACTGCCATGACCACCTGAGAAACAAACAAAGGAGGTCTGATCATGAAGGGAAAAAATGAGAGGGTGAGAGTGGAACATCGCATGAGAGAGAATCTATCATGTTAGGATAGTTTTTTGTGTATTTCTGGATAACGGGAGATAAAACTGTATTATGTGATGTGATAAGAATATATAAATCAAGATATGTGATGCTATCATTTCCTTTAAATCGATGAATAGGAAGAGAGGGAGAGAGAGGGTGGAGGAATGAGGGAGAGGGAGGGAGGAAAGAGAGAGAGAGAGAGAGGAGAGCGAGGGAAGAGAGAAGAGAGAGAGGAGAGAGAGAGAGGAGAGAGAGAGAGAGAGAGAGAGAGAGAGAGAGAGAGAGAGAGAGAGAGAGAGAGAGGAGAGAGAGAAGAGAGAAAGAGAGAAGAGAGAGAGAGAGAGAGAGGAGAGAGAGAGAAGAGAGAGAGAGAGAGAGAGAGAGAGAGAGAGAGAGAGAAAGAGGAAAGAGAAAGAGAGAGAGAGAGAGAGAGAGAGAGAGAGAGAGAGAGAGAGAGAGAGAGAGAGAGAGAGAGAGAGAGAGAGAGAGAGAGAGAGAGAGAGAGAGAGAGCGAGATAGACAGAGAGAGAGAGAGAGCGAGAGATAGAGAGATAGAGAGAGAGGGGAGGAGAGAAAGAGAGACGTACAGAAAGAGGGACAAAAAGGAAGAAGATATAGAGGGGAGAAGAATAGAGCGGAGGATACAGGTACATATCAAGATAGAATAGGATACATTGCACTTACCTCACTATTACAGAAGCAGAACAAAAGCGCCACGCAGAATCCCTGAAGAAAGTAAGCAAAAAAAAAAAAGTAATTATGATGATGGTAATGATGATGATTATAATAATATTGGTAATGAGGAAATATAGTTGAAATAGTGATAATATCTCAATAGATATAACACCGGTAATGATTATAAAATAGAATTATTAAAAAAATAAAAAAAACACCTCTGACGTCAGAATAAAACGTCAGCAACACTTTCATGACCTCGGGAGAAAACACATGACGTCATAAACCGGTAAGGTCAAGGGTCATTTCCGTTTTATCTCGTGGGAAAATGGCATCAACTCGCTCCCTTATGGTATCATCAGTGTTTCAAGGAGATGAGACAAAAAAGAAAAAAAATTGGGGCTTGTGCAGAGATGGAGGAAGGGAGAGAGGGGGCAGGGGGGGGGGGGACTCAGTCGTTTGTCCTGTGACTCACCGGGAACTTATGAGTCACTGGTGGGCCCAAAATACAAGCAATGAGTTTCTTTTCAGAGATGACTCAGTATTGTAGAATCAGACGTAAAAATACTTCCATTTTACAGAAATAAGTTATTCGGAGGAAACAGCTGATTGTCTCCCCATGACAGCTGATAAATAATAAAGAACTATCTTACTCTAAAGACTCTCATTAAGGCTACTCTGACTCACTCGAAAGACTCACTCTAACTCAACCAGGACTCACCTGGAAGGACGACACGACGGCTGAAATGACTTCATAAACGAATTCCCAGTGTGAACCCTTTGCCGGCCTGAAATGAAAAGAAAAGAAAAAGGTCATGAGAAACGGAACGGAATGGAACGAAACGAGAGACACGAAACAGAATGAGATATATCGAAGAGAACGTCCAGTAACTTTCATTATTTTGAAGAGAAAAGAAACTCGTTTTGAATGGAGGAATAGATAATTTGCGGATATTTTAATGTATAATGAAACAGGCAAATGCTTTACTGAACGGAATGGAACGAAACGAGAAACATGAAACGGAATGAGATATGTCGAAGAGAACGTCCCGTAACTTTCATTATTTTGAAGAAGAAAAGAACTCGTTTTGAATGGAGGAATAGATAATTTGCGATTTTAAAGTATAATGAAACAGACAACAAATGCTTACTAAACGGAATGGAACGAAGAGAGAAACATAAAACGGAATGAGATATTTCGAGAGAACGTCCGGAACTTTCATTTTTAGAAAAAAAAACTCGTTTTGAATGGAGTAATAGATAATTTGCAGATATTTAATGTATGATGAAACAGACAAAACTTTTCTGAACGAAATAGAACGAAACGAAAAATAAAAAAAAAAATGTCGAAAAGAAAGTCATCTTCTGTGACATTATTTTGAAAAAAAAAAAAAAACTCGTTTTGAATAGAGAAATAGATAATTTGCGATTATTTTAATGTATAACGAAACAGATAAATACTTTACTGAATAAATAATCGAATAAGTAAATAAATCGACGGAATATCACGATCGCAATGAACAGTAACATGTCTTTAAGAAAAATCAATAACAGTAACATAGATTCTAAGAAAAGCCTTTTGCAGATGTTCAGTGAATGAAGGAGATGGAAAGAACACGGGAGAGACAAAGAGACCGAAAGAGACCACCTTTCAATAATAATGATAATGATGATGAGGATGTGATGATGATGACTATGATTATGATTTATTATTATTTATTGTTATTATTATTTATTATTATTATTATTATTATTATTATTATTATTATTATTATTATTATTATTATTATTATTATTATTATTATTATTATTATTATTATTATTATTATCTTATTATATTATTATTATTATCATAAATTATTATTATCATCTTTTATGGATATCATTATATATCATCATCAATTATTATTGTTGTTTTTGCTGTTGTAGTTGGTGATGAGAAGATTATGATTTGGATTATGATATTAATGATGAATAATCATAATTATTGATGACGAATAATCATCATCATAGTCATAATTATTATGATTATGATGATGATGATGATTAATATTATGATGATTATGATGATGGTGACCATGATGACGATGATGATGATGGCGGTGATGATATAGTTAATTCTGATAAAGATGATGATGATGGTGATGATGATGATGATATTGATAAAGATGATAATGAAGATGGATATAATAATAATAATGATAATAAAAATGATTATTGTTATTACATTATTTCTATTATATTATATTATTATCATTATTATTATAGTAATAATAACAATGATAATAATGATGATAGTAACTATACTGATAAAGAAATAAGAAAAATAATATAACAGTCAATAACATATTATACAAAATCACAGCTTTTTTCAAGTATGAGACGTGTTCTTGTCTCTTCCGCTGCACTTCACTCTCTGAATGACACTCGACTTAAACTCTCTCTCTCTCTCTCTCTCTCTCTCTCTCTCTCTCTCTCTCTCTCTCTCTCTCTCTCTCTCTCTCTCTCTCTCTCTAGTTTTTCTTCTTTCTCTTACACTGTCTCTTCTCTCACTCTCTCTAATTGTCTGTCTCTCTCACTCTCACTCTCCCTCCCCCTCCCTTCCCTTCCCACTCCCTCTCCCTCCCCACTCCCTCCCTCTCCCTCCCCTCCCTCCCCTTCCTCCTCTTCCCTCCCTCTCCCTCTCCCTCCTTTTTTCACCCCTTTTCCAAAGCATTACCTTTTCAGCAAAACATACGGGTCAACATCCATGAACTCACAAAAACCCATACACTGTAAGCAAAAAAAAAAAAAAAAAAAAAAAAAAAAAAAAGAAAGAGAAAAATCACACATACATTCTCACATACAATCCCATTTCACCCACTTTCCTTAGATAGAAAAATGAATAGATGAATAAATGAATGAATAAATGAATGTAGAGATAAATAAGTAAATAGATAGATAGTTAGATAGATGGATAAATAGATAGATAGATAGATAGATAGATAGATGATAGATAGATAGATAGATAGATAGATGAATAGACAGATAAGTAGATAGATAGACAGATATATAGATGAATGGATGGGCAGGTGATTAGATAGATAGATAGATGGATAGATAGATATATAGCTAGACAGATAGATAGATAAGTAGGTAGATAAATGTATAGATGTATAGATAGATAGATAGATAGATAGACAGACAGACAGACAGACAGATAGATAGACAGACAGATAGACAGACATAGATAGATAGATAGATAAATCGATGGATGGATGAACACATAATCAGATAGACAGACAGATAGATAGACAGATAATCAGACAGACAGACAACGAACAGACACACCCACCTGAAAGGCATGAGGACGTAGTGTAGGCCGAGCAGCGGGATGATAATCAGACAGACAGACAGACAGATAGATAGACAGAGAATCAGACAGACAGACAGACAGATAGATAGACAGAGATAGACAGACAGACAGACAACGAACAGACACACCCACCTGAAAGGCATGAGGACGTAGTGTAGGCTGAGCAGTGGGATGATAATCAGACAGACAGACAGACAGATAGATAGACAGAGAATCAGACAGACAGACAGACAGACAGATAGATAGACAGAGAATAGACAAACAGACAGACAAACGAACAGACACACCCACCTGAAAGGCATGAGGACGTAGTGTAGGCCGAGCAGTGGGATGATAATCAGACAGACAGACAGACAGATAGATAGACAGAGAATCAGACAGACAGACAGACAGAAAGACAGATAGATAGACAGAGAATAAGACAGACAGACAGACAACGAACAGACACACCCACCTGAAAGGCATGAGGACGTAGTGAAGGCCGAGCAGCGGGATGATAATCAGACAGACAGACAGACAGACAGATAGACAGACAGACAGACAGACAGACAAGACAACACCACCACCTGAAAGGCATGAGGACGTAGTGAAGGCCGAGCAGCGGGATGAGGATGAGCGTGGCCCTCACGGCCTTGCGAGTGCCATTGGTGTCCGCCGCGACGTGGTTGGCCCTCAATTTGGTCACCAGCACGCGGACGATGTTGACCAGGAACACCAGATTGGCCAGGATCGAGACACACACCGGTGCGGAGAGGATGAAAGTGTAGTGACTTTCTTCGATCCAGCAGCTGTTTGGGGGGAAAGGGAGAGGAGATGGGGTGGTGAGTATGGTTTTGGGGAGAAGGGGGAGGGGGGTGGAAGGGGGAAATGGGAGAGGAGATGAGGTGGTGAAGTATGGTTTTGGGGAGAAGGGGGAAGGGGATGGGATGGGGGGGGAAAAGGGGAGAGGGAGGGAGGGGGTGGGGAAGGAGGGGGGAAGCAAGGAGAGAGGGAGGGAGAGGAGGGAGAGTTGGGTGAGTATGGTTTGGGGAGAAGGGGGGGGAGAGGGGGAAAGGGAAGGAGATGGGGTGGTGAGTATGGTTTTGGGGGAATAGGGGGAGGGGGAGGGGGAGGGGTGGAAGGGAAGGAGGGGGAGGGGTGGAGGGGGGATGGGGAGGAGGTGGAGAGGAGGAGAGTTGGGTGAAGTTGGTTGGGCGGGGAAGAGGGAAGGGGAAAGGGAGAAGGGGGAGGGCGGGAAACTGAGGAAGGAGGGGAGGAAGGAGGGAGGGGATGAGAAGGAGGAGGGGGTTGGAGGGGATGGAGGAGGGGATGGGAGGGAGGTGGGATGAGGGGGGAGAGTTGCTGAGTATGGTTTGGGGAGAGGGGGGAAGGAAGGAGGAGACGGAGGGAGGGAGAGGGGGTGAGTAAGGTTGGGAGGTTGTGGAGGGGGAGGGTGGGGTGGGGAGGAGGGGAGGGAGGGAGGGGGGTGAGTAAGGTCGGGAGGGTGGAGGGGAAGGGAGGAAGGAGGGAGGGAAGAAAGGGAGGGAGGCAGGAAGGAGGGAGGGAGGGAGGGAGGGAGGTGACTCCTCGATCCAGCAGCGCGGGGGAGGGACGGAGAGGGGGTGACTGCGGTGGAGAAGGGAGGGAGGGAGGAGATAGGAGGGAGGAGGTAGGAAGGGGAGGGAAGGAGAGAGAGAGTGAGAGAGGAGAGAAGAAAGCGGTGGGAACCGGAGTGGTAACGGAAGTGAATGTGGGGGAGGGGGAGGGGAGAGACGATGGTGATGAAGGAGGAATAAGGAGGAGGAGGAAAAAGGGAGAAGGGTGATAGGAGAAAGGAGAGACGGAGAGGGGTCAAGGGTACAGGAGAGGGAAGAAAGGAGGAGAGAGGAGGGAAGAATGAGAGGAGAGAGAGAGCAGCGAACGAGAGGAGGGAGGGTAGGGCGGAGGAGAAGAGAGGAATGCGAGAAAGAGAGGGAATGAGAAGAGGGAATAGAGGGGAGAAGATGATAAAGAGGAGGGAAGAATGGAAGAAAAGAGAGGGAAGGACTTGGAAAGATATACATGCATACATGCAAAGCAATTTTCCCCTTTTACATTTCGTTTCTGTTTGTGTGTGTATGTGTGTATGTTTGTGTGTGTATGTGAATCTGTGTGTTGTGTTGTTTCATTTGTGTGTGTATGTGAATTGTGTGTGTGTTTTCTGTGGTGATGAATCTGTGTGTGTTTCTCTATAAGTAAAATGTTTATTCTATTTTACTCTTTATTCTTTCTGTTGTAAAAAAAAAAAAAAAAAAAAAAAAACATGCAGACAAACAAATATATATATATACATGAGCAAAATGACATTTAGCATTTTTTTTAATCTGGACTTCAGTGTGAAATATCGTATTTTCTATCGATTCTGAACGACATTTTTTCCATTTCATAACACATATTGGACTGCACAGAACAATAAAAAATATTTGCCATTCACCGCCATTTCAAATCTATAGTAATTCATCATACATTTCTTTTGGAACTGAAATAATGACCGTCGATTTTAATATATCATAAATCATAAATCGTTATCTCTCTTCTACACGTGTTCATTTGTGTCTTCAACCGTATTTGATATCGTATGATATATCGTGTGATGTTTATGATACTTTTTCTCTGTTAGATATCATGTCATGCATTTAATCATGAAATTTTCCGACGTTTTATAGAAAGAAATCAAGAGACTGTAGATCAGGTTCTAAATACATATTTATTCTTTTAATCTGTAGTCTACAATTTTCTGATTAAATAGTGTATATATATATTATAATATATATATTATATATATATATATATATATTATATATATATATATATATTATATATTTATATATATTATATATATATATATATTTTTTTTTTTTTTTTTTTTTTTTTTTTTTCTTTTTTTTTTTTTTTTTTTACGTTGTACATTGCAGTTAGTTTATTGTCTTTCTTTCTTTCTCTGTTTCTCCAATTCGTTTTTTTTCGTTATTGCTATCATTATCATTTCCATTCTATTATATCCATATTACTGTTTTATATCATTATAGTTATCATAATCACTGTTATCATATATTTCATAATTTTTACATAATTATCAATGAACATTAGTATCATTATATATCATTGTATTTCATTATTACTGTTATTATATCAGTAGCATTTTATATTAATTACTATCATTATTATCATTTTTTATTATCATTACATCTCATTATTATCATTATTTATTATTCTTACATCATTTATTATCATTATATTACTATATTATTCATCATTTTATTATAATTATATCATTACTATTATTATCATATTACAGGTTATCACTATCACTGTTATTATTAGAACATCAATATTGTTATCATTAGTATATCATAATATTATTATTATTATTGTTTATTGTTCCTAGAAACAGAAAACTACCACCTTCCCCACCCCCACGCCCACCCCTCCACGCCATACACTACATCCGATACCAGCTTGTGGTGGTGTCCCATAGTACTCCACTTATCCTTACTACCTCATACATCCATCTCCATCCTATTCTTTCTGTTTGCTCTCCCCCCCCCCACTCCCTCCATTCTCTTTCTTCTTAAATTCCCCTATATGCAAATCTGTCTACTCTCAACATCTATCTGCTTCAGATATCTATCTACATCAACAGTTATCTACTCTGAACATTCTATTCTCAACATTTAATCTCTACTATTACTCTATACTATCTCTTCAAATTTTCTAACTCTCAACACTACTACTCTCAACATTTTATCTTACTCTCGCCATCTATCTACTTTCAACATGTCTACTTCTACCCCTTCTTCCCTTCGTCTCTAGTTCAGCATCCTCTATTTACAACCTTATCTCCTACATGCACATCATCTACTCACGTTCACAGTCCTCACTTCCACCTTCCCCCTCATAATGGATAGATTGGACTCACTTCTCCTTCCTCCCTTGTCCCATCCTCCCACCCTCCCTTCCTCTTCTCCTCTCCTCTCCCTTCTTCCTACTTCCCCCGTCCATCCTCCTACCACCTCCCTCTCTCCTCTCCTCCTCCCCTGCCCTTTCCCCTTTTCCTCCCCGTCTCTCCTTTTCCCTCCTTCCCTCCTCCTTCCCCTCTCCTCTCTTCTCCTCTCCCTCTCCCTCCTCTCCCCCCTCACCTCAAGTAAACACGCATACACTCACTACTGCGTGTCGGTGGTGCCGCTGACCTCGCTGCCGCATACACCGACGATGATGAGGGCCGGCGCCCCCACCCCAGCAGGTAGAACCATTATGAGGCGGTCCTCGGCGACGAAGGCGACCATGAGGAGCATGTGCAGGTACAGACCCTCGGAGAACATCCAGTAGTAGCTGGAGACGAGGAAGTACTGGACGAGGATGTGGAGGACCTGGCAGCCGATCTGTTGGGGGAGGAGGAGAGAGTTTTGGTGGAGGTGGAGCGGTGGTTGGAGGGGGGGGGAAAGGGGAGGAG